GCATGGTGATAGACTTGGGTCTATTTTCAGTATTTGGCAGGTGGCAAGCCAATTTTTCCAGTACCATTTATTAAAGAGGCTATTGTTCTTCCAGTGAGTTGGGCCCCTTTATCAAATATTACGTGGCTTGTGTGTTTTTGGTTGTGGCTGTTTCTTCCAGTCTGTTCCATTGATCTGTTTTTTAGCCAGTATCAGGTTGATTTTATGACAGTAGCTATGTAGTATAATTTCAGGTCAGGGATTGTGATTCCACCTGACTTGTCCTTGTTTCCCAGGATTGCTTTTGGTATTCTGGGTCTCTTCTGGTTCCAGATGAATTTAAGGCATGTTTTCTCTAGATCTGTGAGGTATGCTAATGGTAGTTTAATGGGAATTGCATTGAATCTGTACAGCAGTTTTTTTTTTGTTTTGTTTTTGTTTTTGTTTTTGTTTGGTTTTTCTCCGGTACCAGGAACCGAACTCACGACCTTGCACTTGTCAGGCAGGTGCTTTGCCGCTGAGCTAAATCCCAAGCCCTGTACAGCAGTTTTGGGAGTATGGCCATTTTCAAAATGTTGTTTCTTCCTATCCATGAGCAAGGAATACTTTTCCATTTCCTGAAATCTTCTTTGATCTCTTTTTTCAGAGTACTGTAGTTTTCATTGAATAGACCTTTTACTTCTTTTGTTAGGCTGATTCCTAAGTATTTCAATTTCTTGGATGTTATTGTGAAAGGTATGGTTTCCTTAATTTCTTTCATACATCACGACCAAGTCAGATTCATTCCAGGAATGCAAGGTTGGTTCAATATTCGCAAATCTATAAATGTTATATGCCATATCAGTGGAGCCAAAGACCAAAACCACATGATCATCTCGATAGATGCAGAAAAAGCTTTCGACAAGGTCCGACATGCATTTATGATAAAAACTCTACAGAAAATAGGAATAGATGGCCTCTACCTTAACCTGATCAAAGCCATCTATGACAATCCAACAGCCAACATCATTCTAAATGGACAAAAACTGAAAGCGTTTACTTTAAAATTGCGAACAAGACAAGGATGTCTGCTCTCACCACTCCTGTTCAATATAGTTCTGGAATCACTAGCCAGAGCAATTAGACAAGAGAGAGAAATAAAAGGAATAAGGATGGGAAAGGAAGAAGTAAAACTATCACTATTTGTAGATGACATGATACTTTACACAGAAGACCCCAAAAACTCCACAAGAAGACTCCTTGAATTAATCAACAAATTCAGCAGTGTAGCTGTATACAAAGTCAACACCCAAAAATCAATAGCATTCCTATACACAAACAACAAATGTAGACTATATTGATTAATTTTAAATGCTATATATTGCTAAATTCCATTTGCTAACATTTTGTTAATGATTTTTCCATTTATATTCATAAAGCTCTTCTTTCTAAATTCCTTTTTGAATTGTCTTTGTCAAATTATGATATCACTGTATTAGTAACCTCTTTAAGAACAAATTTTAGAGAGCTGGGAAATGCTCTCTTCTGTTTTATAGGTTCAGTTGTGTAGGGTTGGTATTATTTATGTTTTAAAAACTTGACACAGTTGTCCATGAAATTGTCTGGACCTAGAGATTATTTTGGAGGGGCTGAAAACAACACACAGTTTAATAGAATTTTACAATTTTATAATATTTTAAAAATAAATATGAAATATTGGGGGAGTTGTGCTAGTTTGTACCTTTGAAGGAATTTGACCATTTCATCTAATTTACAACTTTTAGAAAACTCAAGAGGAGAAGAGAAAATCATATTGTATTTACTGTTTTTCTTCTTTCCTCTCATTCCAAGATTCCTATATCACTTCTTTTTTTGTTTTGAGAATTTCCTTTAGCTATTGTTTTAGTGTAGATCTACTGGCCCTATATTCCCATAGTCTGTCTTCATCTGAAAATGTCTTGATTTCCCTTTAATTCCTAAGAATATTTTGTCTGGATATGGGATTGAAGGTTGATAGTTCTTTTCTCATACTTGAAAAATGTGTCAATTTCTTCTGGCCATCATGGTATCTGGTTAGAAATCTGATGTCATTTGAATTGTTTGCTCCTATAGATAAGGTGTCAGTTCTCTTTCAGTACTTTCAAGAACTTTTTCTTAATTGTCCAAAGTTTGCTTATAATTTAGCCTATCTGTATTTTTTCATTTTCTTGAATCTATAGGTTTATGTCTTTTGCCAAATTTGGGGACTTTTCAGCTATTATTTCTTCAAATACATTTTCAGCTATATCCCTTCTCTTCTGGATCTCCAATGAGATCAATACTAGATTTCATATTTCTATAGGTCCCAATCTGTTTTCTCTCTGTTGTTCAGATTTTGTAATTCCTGTTTTCTGGATCACTGATTTTGTCCTCTCCAGTTTGCTATTGAGCCCATCAGTTAAGTTTTTAATTTTAGTTATTATATTTTTCAATTGTAAAGCTTCCAGTGGGTTTTCTTTGTATAGTCTATTTCTTTATTGACATTTTCTTTTTTTAAAATTTGTTCTAGGTGTTCTTGTAATTATCCATTGAAGCATTTTTACAATGGTTTAATTAAAATCTAGTGAGATCATTTTACATCTGTATCATGTAGGTTGTCTTTTGGCATCTGTTGATTGTCTTTTGTCGTTCACATTCAGATTTCCTGGTTCTTGATATGATAAATGATTTTCTGTTATAACCTGGGCATGTTTAGTTCTATGCTATGAAATTCTGGGTCACATTTAAACATTCTGTTTTAATATGCTTTCTCTAACATGGTACGGATGAAGGAGGAAATGTGCCATTTTTTTCTCCCTGATGAGGATGAAAGTCCAGTTTCCTTACTTGTTTTCCACTTATACCATCGGGTGGAGGAGTGTCCTGTAACAGCTGGTACTTCAGGTTTCCCATAGATGTCCACTGACACCATGCTGGCTAGAAAGGGGAGAGATGTTTGACCACTCCTTTTCATGTGCCCTCCACAATTGGAAGAGGTGTCCTTTCCACTGGAAGACAGTGAAGGTCCTTGGCTTGCTATTCAGCATTCTCTGACTAACCCCTGTGGGAGAGAGATACCTCATTAGGATGTCCCATGAGAAGTTCAGGCTTTCCTCTTGACATTGGCTATTAAAAATTGGGTTTAGGGGATTGTAATTTTTTGTAGTGTTTGGTAATATTTTCTAAAAATTTTCTGTATTGTTTAGCTACCCATTTCCAGTACTTTTGCTAGAGTGTGCAGAATTATGGTCAAACACTATAAACCAGTGACGGTGAACCTTTTAGAACGTTCAGTGGTAACAAACAGCAGGCCATAGGTGCTGAACACATGTGCCATAGGTTTGCCACCACTGGTATAAACAGAGACTGTAATTGGCAAAGTAGAACACATGGTCATCTCAGTTATGCCTGTTCTATGAATTTACTACTGAGTTAATATAGGAATCCTGGTATTAAAACATTCTGTATTTTTTCAAGTGCCTAGATTTATGCTAGTGTGTGCACATGGATGTGTGCCCCCTCCGCTTATCCCCAACAATAAAGAAATAAGGGTGAGTTCAGTCTCGCTAAATCAATGTAGGATTTTTGCTAAAGAGAATGTTGTTCTCTTCTGTTCCTTCAGAGTTGTCCACAGGGGCCACCTGCAGGGCTTTAAATGCTATTATTGCTCCCACAGAAAAGGCATTCCAGTCAAAAGGTTTGTCAGAAGAAATGTTTATTAAAATGTCTTCGAATAAATGGAACACAAATGTTTGAGAAAGCCCAATTCACAGCTTTTATTCAAGTTATAAAATGGGAATTACTTTGGGTGTAAATAATTCATCTCGACACATTTGTTTCATTTAGTGTGTGTCTGCCTGCCTGCCCTTCCATGAATGTGAGATTTTATTTTTGGAGCCTTGTAATATTAACCCTTGCTAGTTTAGCATCTCTTATGAATCACAGGTTTGACCTGCAAGGAAGGGTCCAGTTATCTAAGCCCTTCTTCACTGAACTGTTTGTAATTTTCTTTATAGGCAGTCTTCCAAACAGAAGAAGGCTATTCAAACTGCTATCCGCAAAAATAAAGAGGCAAATGCAGTGCTGGCCCGATTGAACAGTGAACTCCAACAGCAGCTTAAGGTAAGGAGTGCTTCTGTGATTTGGCCAGCCAGGCTTTTTGCTGGCTTTTTTGTTTTGACCATTGGCTGCCCATCCCATTGGTAAGACTTGCCTTTGTTCTCAAACCCCTTTTGGAAGGTGGAGAATTAACTGTATTGCATTTAACTTCTACTGGTTGGTTCTTGCACACATAGAGGAATGCTGGTAACCTTAACGTAGGGGGCATATTGTGTGTGAGTTCAAAGGGGAGAGAATCACTTACAGAGTCTGTTTGAAGAATTCATTTTGTACAAAGCTTCTGAGTAAACATTTTAATTGCTTAGATCCTCTCTGAAAGATGCTATATTTATTTCTGTGGAAGGAGGTGGCCTGGGTACTATCTAAGGGTACTACCCCCTGGTACCACCTCACTTTCTCAGAAATGCCAGCCCTATCCTTATCACCTATTTCTCTTTGTCATTTATCTCTCCTGTGTTTCTTTCCCAGGGCTGCCATAACCAAGCAGTACAAATTTAGTACCTTAAAACAACAAAAATGTATTTTCCCACAGCTCTGGAAGCTAGAAGTATGAAATTAAGGTGATGGCAGTCAGACTCTCTTTGAAGTCTCTTACATAGAATCCTTCCTTACATCTGCCCAGCTTCTGGCAGTTTCTGGTGAGCCTTGGTATTGTTTGGTCTGTAGACATAGCACTCCCATTCTGCCTCCACTGTCACATGATGTGCTTCCTGCAACTTTCTATGTCTGTGTCCAAATTCCTTTTCTTATTGTATCCTTCGTGCAGGGTCACCAGTTATTGGATGAGGGCCCATCCTGGTCTAGCATGACCCCATTTTAACTTGATTATATCTACAGAGATCCTGTTTGCATATAAGGTCACATTTACAGTTACTGGAGATTAGGACTTGAACATGTTTCTTGATGGGACAAGATTCTCTACCAGAGCATTACCTATTCATACATAAACATACTCTAGTAAATTATCCATTGCCCTTGACCATTATAGCTCCTTTGCTGTGGTCCCTCACTTCATGACAGAATTTCTAAGGAATTCTTTTCATTCACTGTCTTTACTTCCTTACCAGTGGTTTTCTGTCCCTTCCACTTCAGTATGGCTTTTCTTTTCTCTACTTACGCCCCTGTTATGGCAAAATCTTATGGATTTGTTTTAGTGTTACTTGAATTTTCAAAAGAATCTATATAACTGGCCATTCCCTCCTCTGAAATCACTTGTGTAATTGACTTTTCTGGTCTTCCTTCTACTTCACTGGTGGTTCCTCCTTAATATTCTATGTTGTCTGTTCCTCCCCTTTTATCTATGCGCCTCATTACCAAAATAATTTATTATGAAAAATTTCAAACGTTCAGCAAAGCTGAATCATATAGTGAATACTTGTACAGCCACTACTTTAGTCTGACTACTAATGCTTTAGTATATTCTACTTGTACTTAATTACCCATTTGTGTCCCTCCTATTCATCAGTTCATTTTATTTTTGATATATATTCAAGTAAATTGTACAATCTGTATACTTCCCTAGATATTTCAGCATGTGCATCATTAGGTCGAATTCGATGTTTTGCATGTTTTTCTTACGATGTGAAATTTACATCCAGTGAATGCACAAATCTAGGGCAAACGTTTGCTGAGATTGTAACAAATGTATATACTTAGGGGCCTCAAATCCCAGCTCAAGTTAGAGAACATTACCTTCACTCTAGGAAGCATCTTCATGTTCCTTCACAGTCAGTTCCTACCCCATCCTCAACAGGGGTGACACTATTCGGAATTTTTTATACCATGGTTTCACCTATTCTGTAGCCATGTACATGGTATGCTACAACATACACTTTTATGTGATGCTTCTTTCACTCAGAGTTACATTTTCCAGGTTTGTTTATATTGTTGTGTGTTTCAGTAGTACACTCCTTTTTTTCTAAGTAGTATTTTGTTGAGTGAATGTGTCACAGTTTCCTTATGAGTTCTATTGATAGGCTGTTCAGCTGTTTTCAGTGTTAGGCAGTTTTGAATAAAACTGCATTCTTGAGTAAAATTTTGTGTGAAAATATGTTACCATTTCTCTTGGGTAAATACCTAGTGTTGGGATTAGTTGGTAATATAAGTGTATGTGGTTGGTTTTATTAGAAACTGTTATACCTTTTTCTAATGTGCTTATAGCATTTTACACTCCCATCGGTAATGTATGAGTGTTCCAGTTATTCTACATCATTGCCAGCATTGGATGTTATTCTTTTTAATTTTGGCCTGTCTTGTGGTGATGTAGTTTTATCATCATCTCCTTGCTAATTAATTATGTTGACTGTTTTCTCTGTGGTTATTTATCATTCATGTATCTTATTTTATGAAGTGTCTTTTCAAATGCTTTGGCCAGTTTTTGAATTGAGTCTCTAGGCTTCGTTTTGGTGTTGAGTTATAGATACATGCTTTTTACATATGTTGGTCACCCGTCATATATCAGATAATGTTTGGTGAATGTTTTCTTACAGTCTTTGTTTTTCCTATTTATTTTCTGAACTATATGTTTTTATAAGTAGTTTTTTTTGCAGTACTAGGATTGAACCAAGGGCTTCACACATGCTATGCAAGTGTTTACCCACTGAGCTATATCCCCAGCATAAGAAGAAGTCTTAAATCTTGATAAAGTCTAATTTATCATTATTTCTTTTATAGGTATTGCTTTTTCCCTATGTAAGGAAACTTTGCCTGTCTCCAAATTATGAAAATATTCTCTTGTGTTTTCTTCTAACTGCTATGTTGTTTTACCCTTTATAATTAGGTTATTATCCACCTTGATTTAAATTTTGTGTATGATGTGTGTTAGTTAAACTGGGAATGGTGGTGCATGCATATAATTCTAGCACCTGAGAGACTGAGGCAAGAGGCTCATGAGTTTGAGCTTAGCCTGGGCAATTTAGTGACTTAGTGAGACCCTTTCTCAAAATAAAAAATAAAACAAAGGACCAGGTGTCTAGATTAGCCATGTTCAATTCCCAGTATTGCAAAAATAAATAATTTAGCACCATTTGTTGAAAAGATTTTCCTTTTCCCTTTGGAATACTTTGATGCCTTTATCAAAAATCTAATGTAGTGCAAGTTAATTTCTGAGTCCTTAGTCTATTCAGTTAAACTATTTGTGTGTCAGTAGCACACAGCCTTGGTTACTGTTGAATTATTCTAAGGCTTGAAATCAAGTAATGCATATTTTTCAACCTATTGTGATAAAAACTTCATTGTATACTTTATGCTTTTATTTCATATACATTTTAGAATTTTTGTGTGAGTTTCTACACAATAGAAACTGCTTTGATTATGCCTGGATTTACATTGAATCAATAGATAAATTTGGGGAGGATCAATATATAAATAATGTTGAGTTTATTAACTTGAAAGCAGAGTAATCTCTGTAACTATTTAGGTCTCCTAAAATTCGTGTGAGGAGTTCTGAGTTTTGGGTATATAAGTTTTACATATCCTTTATCAAATTTATTTCCAATTTTTTGTGACATTATTCCAAGTTGGATTGTTTTTTAAAATTTCCTTTTCTAGTGGAGTTTATGAAGGTCACAGAATGTAAGATCAACACACAAAAGTCAGTCATATTCCTGTATACAAGCCATGAACAGTAGGTAATGGAAATTTTTTAAAAGTACAATTTCTCATTGTATATGATGTTTGCTTTCTCCTGTATATGAAATACTTTGGTAAAAATCTATCAAAACACGTACAGAATTTTTGCTGAAAATTATAAAATGCTGCTAAAGGAAATTTAAGAAGACCTAAATGAATGTAGAGGCGTTCTTTGTGGATTTGGGAATTCAACATAATAGAGATGCCGTTTTTTTCCACAAGTGATATTTAGATTCATTATAATACCAGTTAAGATACTAGCAGAAGTTTTTGTGAATATAAATAAGCTGGTCCAAAAAATTATATATAAGGGCCAAGGAACTGAAATCAGTAAGACAACTTAGAAAAGGAAGAACACAATTGTAGAAATCACTGTCCACCTTCAGTAATCAAGACAGTGTGGTAGAGCAATTGACGTCCAGATCACCGAAACGGGATATAGTCCTCAAATAGACCACATGAATACTGCTGTTTGATCTCTGAGTAAGATCCAAAATCAATTGAACGAGAAAGGCTAGTCTTTCAACAGTGTTTTGTAGCAGTTGGTCATCTGTACATTTAAAAAAGCTCTTGTCTAATCCTTACACCACATTATACGAAGCATAGCTTAAAATGGATCATAATGTAAATGTAAAACATAAAGCTGTAACATAGAAGAAAACAGAAGAAAAAGTCTTCATGACCTAATGTTAGAAATGACACCAAAAGCATAATCTATAAGAAAGAAACCTCGATAAATTGAATTTTATAAAAATAAAGAGTTTTTGCTATGCTAAAGAAAATTAAGAGACAAGCTACAGACTGGGAGAAAATATTTATAAACCATATATTTAACAAAAATCTCATATTCTGATTATATAAAGAACTCTCAAAATGCAAACATCTGCATTTAAAAATGACCAAAGGACTTGAACAGACACTTCACCAAAGAAGATAGAAGGATGACAGATGAACATACGAGAATATATTCACCATCATTAGCCAGTTTACTGGTAAGCATGCTCCTTGAGTGAATGAGCATTTTGGGGCTCCTCAAGAAGGGCCCTCTGTATTGTCAAAATTTCATAAGAGGTGATCAAAACAGATGATTAAAGTTCCCATTCAAAAGCAGTTATTATAGTAAAAGACATCGCCATTAATCTTTCTCAAAATGCTGCCCCTCACTTTGAAAACACGCTTATCCCATCATTCTTGCCACTTTCTAAAGCAGTTCTGGAAGCCCTCTTTCGTGAGTGTCCTTATGAGGTGTGATGAAAAGTGTGGTGAATGTGGCTGCCCAGTACCATCTAAAGAAAGGCAGGCTCCTAAAGACATTTCAGTGTGTCTTCATCCACCTGTTCACTGGATCTGCCACTGTTTTGACTTCTAGCTCTTACCCAAAGTCAAAATGACCATGGAAGGTAAACATTTTGAATTGATTCAGGGTATCGAGGCAGCCACGGCAGTGCAACTAAAGACACTCATGAAATCGGACTTCCAGAACTGCCTTAGGAAATTTCAAAAGTAATGGGATAAATGTATTTAAAGGAAGGGGGAGGATTTTGAGGGGGATTAATAGTAGGATGTCTCTTGGTAATTATTTTTTTTTGGTCCTTTTGAGACAGGGTCTCACTATGCAGTTCAGGCTGGCCTTGAACTCACTTTGCAGCACAGGCTGACCTCGAACTTATAACAATCCTCCTGCCTCAGCCTCCTGAGTGCTGGGATTACAGGCGTGCGCCACCATGCCTGCCTGTCTTGGTAATTTTTAAAATTTAAATGTTCACTATATGTTTTAATCATACCGTGTGTACTGATCTTTCTCCTTACCTTTCCCAAAGGGGCCCATTCACCAGAGCGGCTATATATTTGAGGAAAGGGGATAACCAGCATTGGAGAATTACTAGATACTAGCGCGGAACTGCAGGCAATTTTAGGAGACTGAAAGTGTCACTGTGGCCCGCCAGTCAGAACAGGGGCTTACGGTGGTCAGGTCCTCAGTGGAGCAAGTGCGCCTCACAGTAGGCACAGTGGCTTCCCAGGCCCCCGCTGTGGTTGTTCACTCAGCTCGAGAGTACACACTTGGAATAGATGTACGTGGCACCTCTCAGAATTCCCACCTTTCCCTGCTGGACTGTCTAAGTCATTTCCTGCACATCAGTTTGCTTTTCAGCTTACAAATTTTGTTATCATTTCTTCCCTTTTGTTTGCCGTGCCTTGTGAGTCTGTGACTTTAAAAAGTTCCTGTTTTTTTTTTTTTTTTTTTTTTTTTAAGTGGAGTTACAGGAGGGAGTGAGGATGGCCCCATATTAGTCTTCTGTGTTTACGTAGAACCCCTATCCTGTTTTAGTAGGTGCTATTTCTGTGTCTGTAAAGACCATCCATAGGCTAACGAAACCTCCATTTATATTTTTATTTTTTGGCTTTTTTGAGACAAGGTCTTCCTATGTAGTTCAGCCTAGCTTTAAATTCACTATGTAACCCAGGCTGGCTTTGAACTCACAGTGATCTTCCTGCCTCAGCCTCCCTAGTGCTGGGATTACAGGTATGCACTATCACTCCCAGCATGAAACCTACATTTATGTCTTACACCCTGATTCTCTTTCCTTTGAGCATACATACTGAATTTCTTACTCAACTGTTTCTCTTTGTATATTTGGTAAATATCTCAGACACTTAATTTCCAGCCCTCTCCTTGACAGGCCCATTTCTAATGAGTTATATATCATGTACAGGTACAAATTCTCTGTGATGAATGTGACTATTATATATATCTAAAACGTACCAATGAATTCTGATTAGAAAAAATAGAGATATCAGTTTAAAAAAACAAAATCATTGGAGTCTTTCTTAAATTTTCCTTCTGTCCTCCCTCAACTTCATCAGCAAGTCTACTCAGTTCTAGATTCAAGATCTGTGCAGAATTCCTCCACTTCTCTTTATGGCTGCTAACCTGATTGAAGTCATTTTCATTTCCCACCTGAGTCCTTGTAACTTCCCAATGGCGCCATTGTTTCTGCTCTTGCACTGCTGTGATGCTGCGGCCCACTCTGCGGCCTGCACTGTAGCCTGAGTGAGCATTCTGAATTGTGCATTACATATAGAGCCAGCTCTTCTTCCTGGTTCAAAACCTTCAGTGAGCCTCCCCCACGCCCCCGTCCTTTCATTGCAGTCTGTCCTCTTGCCTCTTCCCACAAAGCCCTATAGAATATGGCTTCTGTCTAAATCTCTGACGTCATCTCTTGCCAGCGTCTTTCTTGCTTCCTCTGCTCTGGTCACATGGGCCATTTTGTTTGTCAGATTCCTCAAGCTCATTCCATCCCTTGGAGCCTTTGCAGTTACCATTTGGTCTCTCTGCACATCTTTCCCCATATGTTCCTCCAGTGCACTCCTCACTTCATTCCAGTCACTGCTCCAATAGCATCACCTCTGAGATTACGTCCCTGGTCACCTTCTCTGCTTCCTCCCACCCCCAGTACTCAATTACATTATCAGTATTTATTTCCTCCTTTTAACCTATTATTTTCAGTTTTAATATTTTTATCAACAATGTTTGCACTACCTAATGATTACATTCTTCATGAGGAGGGGGTACATGTACATAACACATCTTAATTTTTCCATCCCCCCATCTCCTAGTCTCCTTCCCTTTTGCAAAAGTTCTGTCTCCCCTTTTCCTATTATCTATCCTTTATTTTGAGCTTCTCATAGAAGAGAAACCATGCAACAGTTAAGCTTGTGTGTCAGATTTATTTCACTTAGCAACATGGTCTTAAGGTGTATCCACTTTCCTACAAATGACACAAGTTTTTCTTTATGGCAAAGCAGTACTCTCTTTTGTGTAAATATCACGTTTTCTCTATCCATTCATCAGTTGGTGGACAGGTAGCCCACTTCCAAGATTTAGCTGTTATGAATTGTACTGGTATAAACATTAGTATACACATATCACTGTGATACAGTGTGTGTAACTCTTTCAAGAAGATACCTAGAAGGTGAATAGCCAGGTCGAATGGAAGTTCTAGTTTTAGTCTTTTGAGGAATCTTCATACTGATTTCCATTAATTGTTATACTCATTCACATTCCCACCAACAATGTAGAAGTGTTCCTTTTCCCCCACAGCCTTGTCCGCATTTGTTTTTATTCAATTTCTTGATGATGACTGTTCTTTCTGGGGTAAGATGGAATCTCAGTGTTGTTTTAATTTACATTTCTCTGATGGCCATGTATGTAAAACATTTTTTCATGTATTTATTGGCCATTTGTACTTCTAAGGAATGTCTATTCATGTCAGTTGCCCATTTTTTGACTGGGTCTTTTCCTCCTGGATATATTTTGTTCATTTACTTAGTTGTCTTTCTCTGACCAATGGATATAAGCTCTATGAGGGGATTGGTCTACTCCAGTGGTGATGAACCTATGGCATGCATGCCACAGCAGGCTGTTTGTATCTTCGAAAGCTCCAAAAGGTTCACCATCACTGATCCACTCTATCTTCTTCTCTCCACTCTATCTTCTTCTCTGCTGATCCCGTCATGGCTAGAATATTATCTGGCCCTTAGTAGACACTAAAAGACTGTTAGATGGGTGGGTAGGAGGATGGGCAAATAACCACTTTTCCAGTTCTCTACTGACTACTCGTGTGTTGGCGCTTGTGGAACATTTCAGAATTGCATCTTTGCAGCAATTTATACAGCATTTTTGCCACCTGGATGAGCTCTACTTAAGAATGCTCTTATGAACCCCCTTTCTCTGCAAAAAATTTGTTTTAGGCCTGAAAGTTTGATTTTCCAAATAGCAGATTGCTGATCGCCTCTTTCTGACTTTCACCTCAAGATCACACATAAAGCTCTATTGTGTATAGGAGCCCGCACCGGACTTGAGTTGGAGGGTTGACAAGTGTACCTCTTCATCCCTCAGACCTTCCTGAGTATGGTGCTGGATACAACTAGAAATTTAGTCCGAGTGGCTCACCCCTCAGAACTGGGACTCTTCTTTTGCTTACTAATCTCTCCCAGTCAGTCTTTTTAATTTTCAGTATCATTCTCTGCCAGCTGTTGATCCCATTAAAACAAGGTGAGACTAAGGTGGGGTATTGGCAGAGGGTTTCTCAGTTTCATTTTATCATCTTCAGCAAGGAGTTGAGAGATTACAAATTGTGAGGATCCCCCTTTGCCTACTCAGCAACTTCAAGCCTGATGCCTTCCAGCCCACCTATTCTTGAGTTATACAGCACTTAAATGTCTTGGGTCCAGTTACAAGTTTCCTTTGACTATCTCATGTAGTAGGTATGAGCCCAGAAAATGACTCTTTGCCTTTTTGTTTTTCTTCTCCCTGTTTTGTACAACTCAGGAAGTTCATCAAGAGCGGATTGCATTGGAAAACCAGTTGGAACAACTTCGTCCAGTCACTGTGTTGTGAGCCCCAAGGTTCAAGTGACAGTGCGTGACCTTGTCTGCCAAGATCTTTCCTTTAATGTTTGAGCCCAACTACTTGTCATAGATGTTTGACTATGTCAAAAGCTGTGAGCAGCAAAGTATAATCCATACAACATTTTCTCTTGCAGTTCACTTGTATGTTTTATTGTGGGAAAAAATACTTCAACTGATTATCACACCTGAAATTGTGATTATCAACAGACCTTTATCTCTCATTCTTAAGTACTTCCTCCAGGTATTAGATGCTGCTCCTTACCAAAAATCCTTCTTCTAGCAAATAATTTAGAGCATTATTTATTTAAAGAATTTATGATTTGTATAAAACCTTATAACCAAGTACTTTCAGGATGCTTGTTTTATTTTTGTATGTATGTCACATACATAGGTTGCTTTCCTGAATACTTGGGATTCCAACTGGATAGTCTTTGGCATGATGATAATAAAAACAAAAGCTAAAATAAAACGAGAACATCATATTTAGGCTGGCATTGTGCCCTCCACCACTATATGCCAAAAATTGCATCTCTAGTGCCATTTTGATGTTATATCTAGCTATAAATAATACATGACTATTGTTTTCTATTGAATGTCAAAGACTTATTGGGTCTTTCCACCCTATGAAGTAGAGATTTTGGCAATGAGCTATTTAACTTGGCCAATCTGGGCTATCAACCCAGATAACTCAGTCCTTTGATGTAAATTTTTGGGCAAGAACAATTTGCTTTAACTGCCTTGCCTGATCAAATTAAATAAATAGTTGCCAGATCTCTACTTTTATCCTGCATGGGATAACATATCTGTAAATGCATGAGTTTGGAAACCACCCATCAAATATGAAAAGCTAGATTGATAAACATTTGTTGTTTGAACTCGGGTATCTAGACTGGGGAGGAAAGGGAAATGGTTACCAACAATCCAAAAATCTCTTTTTGCCTTTATTTTAATCTGGATTGAGAGTGTGTTGGGTATAAAGAAATAATGAAAGAAAGTGGTGCTCACACTGGACATATGACTATTTTGTTTTCTGTGAGGTGTACCCTTGGGAAGTAATTGGCTTGTATACAGCTCAGAGGAGCTCAGCCAACTCCAGTACAGGTAATGTAAAATAAGCTCAAATCACAGAAGTCAGTATCCTTTAGAACTTTAGGTAGCTGCTGTTTCAGCTGAACACCCAAGCTGAAAGCGAGAATTGACTGACCCACAGGGTCACAGACTCACTGATCTTCACAAGGCATGCCAACTTTAACATTGCTTTAACATTGCTCTGAGAGACTTACAGCAGGACATACTGTCTTTTCTGCATTTTGCTAATGTGCCCATTCTTTGGGGAGTGCCGGTCCTTTTTGAAATTGTTTGGGATAAGTGTGGAATACATGGGATTAAGCTGCTGGTTTCAATAGAACTGAGAGCTTTTAGGAAAAGTAGGCATTCATTTAATGCTTCCTCGTTCCCCTGGCAAGCTTTCTCAATAGCTTAACAGCAACAGAGAAAGGCTCAAACAGATGATGTTTGCCCAAAGAAAAACAAATTATTGAATCTATTCCATGCATGTTTAAATATTTTGAATTGATTTGATTTTGAAAATCATGAAACTTGAACTATTTCTCTATTTCCATTTCCTCCCCTTTGGCTGCCTTTTTTGTTGTGAAGAAGGGTTCAGAGTGAGTTTTAAATCCTTCCTAAGATTGTGACTAGGTCAGTGCAAATTGTAGGTAACTTTTTTCCTATACATTGTGATTTGGGAGCTGCAACAAATTTTATCAACAAATTTTATCAGTGTTCTTATTGCAGATGTTTCATAGCATGTTTGGCTTTTGGTACATTCCATCCAGGAAGGACTAGTGTATGCACTTTATCTCATAATCTTCCAGTACATATGCACTCGCTCGGGATAGCACTTCATATCCACCAGCCAGACATATAAACGAAGGAATGTTAGTCTAAACTATGCATTTAAAAAATACTGACATGCTGTCTTCCCCCATGAAGTCAATGACAAAAAGAGCCAAATAAGGAGGCTGGGGTTTTGTTTAGTTGGCTTGGTTTTCATTAAAGGGAAAAAACTTGCATTGGACAATCAAAGCTCTCCAAGATTCGTAGTCTTTTCTTATGTATATGCTGGGATCAAACCCAGGGCTTCATGCGTGCTAGGCAAGTGCTCTACCACTGAGCCACATTCTCAGCTCAACAGCAGTATTTTAAGATAGGCATTGCATTAAAGCACACACCAGTAAATGTACACCCAGCCTTCTTACCTGGACTTAATTTTGTCCATGGTTTATTAGTTGCTTAGAAGTGGATGTTTTAAAAAAATTAAATATTTGTTTGTGTATATACATACAGACATATACATACTACTCTTATTGTTATCTAACTATTGCTCATCCTCAATTTCTCTGTTTCCTTACGATGTGTACCTTTAATTTAGGATTATAATGTCTGATAATGTTTCTGTGAGCCTTTAATATGATTTATAAGAAGGCTGGCTTATTGAAATCACCATTATACCTCTTTAATAAAACTACTCCAAAATTAGACTTGCTCTTTAGTAGAATTCTACAAATAGAAAGTTAATGTTGTCTCCATTTATGGGTATTTAATTACCTTGTTCATTGGTCTTCTCCTACAGACATCCTGCAGTCACATAAACAAAAGCATAGTAGGAGCCAATAGTGGACATATTGGGGCCCTCAGTATCTCTTGTATGTGGTATATTCCTTTTGCCACCTCTTTGACAGGCGTGAAGCAAAATCAAGTAGTAGACATCTGGACTGGATATGTGTGTTGTGTTCAGGGCAGATATTTGCCTTAGTTGGAAGGATCTAATGAATGGCTTTAAAAATAGTAGCGATAGGAGGGAGCTTAGTTGGAAGCCGTGCCCATTTTCTTGTCGGTGAAGAACAGGATGTCAGGACTGGGTAGTACTGGTGCTCGTCTCCTATAGTTCATATGTGGAAAAACCGAGGTCCTATCAATCAGCAGTTCCTGTCAAGAATCCATAGAAAGAGGTAGCTAATGAAAGAGTTCAGTTACCAGCCTGAGTTTATAGTTCCAATTTGGGCCCTCGGTTCTCTGTCAACACTAAAAGTAGATTACAAGATTTTCTTTCTGTTTACCTTGTTGAATTTTATTGACTTAACTAATTAGTCTTTAAATATGAAAACATGTTTTAAGTTTTAGATCTAGAAATTTCTCTTGGTTTGAAAAGTAAAATCTGAAGGGAAAGAATATTATTGAACTATTTGTTCTTCTGAACGCCTCACCTTTCATGATGCAATAAGTTATTCTGAATTTCTTGGCAGAACTTTTGACAGCTGTTGCTTTGAGTAGATTCCATTCCCATATTCCTTATGGGAGTTTGTTTTTAAAATAGACTACTGTGATTGAAATGAACTCAATATGTAGTAAGTTATAGTTTTCTTCAATATATCTTTAGTTACTTGGGTCACAAATGTTTAATTTCAGCATATTTTAGGGTGAGTAATCAAAAGCATGTATTTTCCTTTGATTTCCTACCAAAATCTGAACTATCATAAAATTTTTTTCTTTATATGTGCTTGTACAGCCTGTTTGTAGATGTTTGTTTCTTAAATGATCTCATAAGCACAGTAATAATAGATGTGTAATCAGAGGTCAAGAAGGTAATATTTTGAATAGATGTATTTCTTGCAGCTAAGATAGGCATTTGTGAATGTCTTCTTCTAAGCAGTAGTTGGAAACATCTCAATTACACTATTAACACCTTTGAGCTAACAACATTTGTTCAACACAAACTAGAATCACACCTTCTAACTAGATATCATCAAGGGATTGTGATATTAAAAATAGAAAATCAAGAAGTTAACATCTTGTAGCAAACAGCTCTTCCCATATTATTGACAGGCAGGCTCGTTAGGTTGTGGTTTAAGCACTGTTAATGTGAGCACAATGATATTGCAGTTGAGAGGTCATTTCTGCTCTAGTCAAACAGAAAACTAATAACGTTAGTTTCTCTGACTGGTTTACTGTTTTAGATATGTTCTTTTAAAATTGATTTCAAAGGGTCAGTTGAATTTATACTTTAGTTACTTTTTTTTTTTTTTTACATCATGACTCAGTGTGGTTCAAATTCCTAGTAAAAATGGGGATTTAGGTTTTGGGAGTGCTCACGTCTTCTTCAGTGCTGGCAAAAGGCAACTACCTACCAATATGGCCAGATCAGACACTGTTAGCAATTTCAATGACTGTTACTCTATAGGCCATCATCTTTGCTTATTTCTGGGGAGAAGTGCCTCTAGTTATGTGAACCTCTCAAGAGTAACTCTGGGAGCAGCAGACAACAGAGGGACAGACCTTAAAAGCAATGCAAGCCCATTCTAAGAGCTGCTGCCCACCCTTCAATCAGACTTTTGAAGACTGTCTTACAAATAAGACCTGAAGCAGCCAGTGTGTTAATGTGAGCAAGACAGCCCAAGTGCACAGTTGCTTTTAAGCTTGTACATAGTTATTTCCTATGTTTACTAACACACTGGGTGGTAAAGGAACCTTTTCTAAGCAGTACTGTAAGGTTTGAATTGACAGGGCTTGTTCTAGGTTACAGAAGCCTTTGTTTGCTGTCAGTAATTGAGGAGTGCTTAGTTTTCATATCACGAACCCTCCTATCTTGCCTCAGTCTAGTTTCATGGTTGTGGAGGTTGGAGAAAGTAGGTTTACGACTTTGAAGACCAGAGGATAGCAGACTTTAAGAGAGCTTAAACTGGAATTTGGCAACTACAATAAAGAAACTTCAGGCACCAGTTCCATCCTCAGGCACTGTGTGGAATAACAGGACTAGGTCGTAAACTCCTTCAGGGAGCTCTGCCCTGAGATGGAATTCAACAGTCATGTCGTATGCAGGTTGGATCAACTAAGTTATGTTATTTTTGTTTTAAGTCAACTTGTGTGACAGTTTCAACTGCACACATTTTGAGAGCCAGGTATACACTCTTCGTTAGCACTGCCATCCTTTTCGTCTTCAGCACAAATAAGATTAAGTGAGCCAGAGGCAAAAAGAGCCATTTTAGTCTACATAGCTATTGGCCAAGAGAGATAATGAACTGATGGTCTATTTTAACCTTGAAAGTAAAAATGTATATTTTTTCACTACAGGTACATTGAACAGTAAAAAGTGTAACAGCAAAGTATATATTTGATGCCTTCTGTCTTTTCATGATACTGTACTACCAAGTTGTGTTAGTGTTTTACTCAGCTAGAGTCTCATTTGTTTGCTAAAAGCATTAGGAACATTATGCATATTGACCTTAAACATAAGTCCCCGAGAGTGTCCTATGTTTGCATTGTGACTTGTAGACTCAAGCTAACTCTACTGCCTCTTTTTCACATTTGTTGAAAAATCTATGAAGAACATAGTAAATTAAGAATCTCAAACTTTGGGAAATGTACATGATGTGAAACTGGGGTGCTATGTTAAAAATAAATGTATGATAAATAAACGGCTCTTGTGGTATCTTGGTGTCAATATTTTGGGGTTTACATATGGCCTCACATGCACTTAATGTGGGTGATGTGAAGAGGAGCTGGGGGTCTTCCAGTAAAATAAAATCTAAGAGTTGGTTATTTTCACCTCCTGGTGGTCTGAGACAGGTTATTAAATGTCTGCACACAATAAACACCTGGTTATCGAGGGATATCATGGCTAACTCACAGTACATTTTGAAGGTCCACTGAATTGAAAACTTGGCCTAATGCAGGCCTGTGTTAGTTGCTTTATCTTTTCAGCATTCTTTTTATTCAACAATGTTTCCATCATGGTATCCGTACCTGGAGTGGAAATGATATAGACGAGCAGGAAGATTTGGCTCAAATTTCTGACCACGGAATCTTGCAACCCAGTTGTCGTTTTGGACCTTTAAAATTTGAATAATTTTAGGAGGCATCAGTCTCATATTACACAGGTTTTCTGCTGTGTCACAGTGTCTATCCATGAGTTTGTCCCATCCCCTGATCTTGCTTCCATAGATATTTACTGTGCCCCTACTGTGTAACCAAGTGGTATGTTACTTCCTTCCCCCCCAGGAGCTCACAGCTCCATAGGGCAGAGACCTACAGATGAGGTGCAATACAGAGTAGGATAGGCGCTATGATGTTTTAGGATAGGCAGATGCTATATAAACAAGCCACAGACTTCAGTGAATCTCTTTTACCTCACCGTCCAGGGTTGGTGTTCATAGCTGTTCAGGAGCTCAGACTCTTTCCTTCCATGTGTGGCTTCATAATCTTGTAAGGATAGGGTGTTTTCTTCTTTTCTCCAGTGGGCTGGAGAAAAAAAGAGACTGGAGAAGATAAAATTACTCTTCACAGAAATGACAAACATCACTTCTATACATACTTCATTTTCTGGAGCTCAGCCCTATGATAACAATTTACCAAAAAGGAGACGGGGAAATGTAGTCGAATTGTGAATTTAGGAAGAAAAAGGGTTGGTGAGTACAGCATTTACCTGAAGACACAAAGCAGGTTGCCATGGGAACACATAGGCGGGGCATCTAACCCAAAACGAGAGGACCCATGAAAGCCTTGTGGAATAATCTTAAAGGATGGATATGCATTAACTAGGAAGAAGAGAGTGTTCCAGGCAGAGGGAGCTGTGTGTGCCAAGGCAAGGTAGGGTAAGAGCATGGTGTATTCTGGGAAATACAGAGAGATTCTACAATGGATGGACTTGGGATGAGGAGAGGAGGTGGTAAAGTTTAGGCACAAGGCCGGTTGGGAAGGATCTGCATGAGAATGTATTAACCACCCTGAATGAAGGTTGTTTTCAGGATTTAAGAATAAATGCTTGGAGCTGCTTACATCACTAATACTCAAACAGTGATTTTTTTTCTCTCAATTTTTTCTACTTTCTAGAAAATGAATGTTTCACTAGAAGATCATAAACTAGTGTTTCTAACGTGGGCCAACAAAATCTGCTAGTTTGACTTGTCCTTTGTTTGGACAAAGGACCAAAACTCAGAATACAAGAGACTATAAACCTTTGTAGGCAGGAGTCCTCTGGGAAGATAAGAGACTTTTTCTATCAACTCCTTTTGGGGGCGATATTTGGGATCCTGAGATGATTGAAAGGTGCAGGGCTCTCTTTTTGTCAACAAGACTAAGCACAGAAAGAAAAGCGTTTGGGAATGAGGCTGAAACACATACTTCTTTTTGAACAAGAGTGCTCAGTGAGTTTGGTAATTCTGACAGATCCCAAAGTCTACAGGGGAAAATGCTCTGAGTGGGACCTGTCCACGGCAAACTCCAGCATCAGAGTCCCACCATGCACTCTTACATATGAGGTGTTCTGCAAACGAGAGTATTTGCAGGCATCTGGGTGGTGTTTCCCTCATTGCATTTTTCTTTCCAAAACAATGCAAAGAGCCTTTATCTTTGGGTATTAGATTGTAAACCTGGAAGGACGACACACTTTCGTTTGTTTGCCCTGAGGTCCTCTTAGCAGATTGGGCAAAAGGGATTGGCACAGAAACTCAATAAAAACGTCAAGATTCACCTGTGAGAATAACATCATCAGTGGAAGGCATAAATAATTTATACATATTTAATATATATTTAAAACAGTAATAGCTGTAGTAATTGTTTAGAACATAGACCAGCAAAATATTTAGGGGGAGGAGGAATATTTTATCATAGATACTTTAGAATTACTGGTGCGTGGAAATTAATAAAAGTTGAATTTTATTGTTTTTAAAATTGTTCTTAAATTTTCTACAGAGAACGCACCCTTGTTCTCGTACCTGGGATAGGGTCCAGTACTGCCCTCCTTGATACAGTTCCACAGAACAAAGCCCATGCCTCTGCTCATTTACTAAAGAATCAAAACTACAAGACTGAAGGAAAGCTAAGGGGAGGAAAGAATGCTTGAGGAATGGAATAAAGGCAAACGAAGTGAATTCAGTACAGATACGGAGATCTATGATGCAGGTTCTTTCAAATTCAAATGAAATTGGCTTGAACCTCAACCCATGTGTAATAAGAGCCTGCATCCCAGTCTCTCTGGAGCTTCTGAAAGAGGTCATGGTGGAGAGACTGATGGCCTTATCCTTGTCACTCCTGCCTCTACTACGTTTCTGAGGAATTAGTTTGATGGATTGGCTATCTGTTTTACTCCAAAATACATCGTTTACTCACGTGGTGTGTGTGTGTGTGTGTGTGTGTGCGTGTGTGTGTGTGTGTAGTGGGATGGAAAAATAGGCAGAATTGGTGGAATATTTAGGGAGAGTGGAGTTTTCATATAGCTTGTATCCAGGCTTACCACAACACGCAGCTCCAGGGGACGTTGTTCACATTCTATTCTTCGTGAAAGATGCCCCTTGGAGTTTGTGATCCAGCTGGTCTCTTCGGCCTCTTTACAGCGCCATGCTGCAAAGCCCCCTCTTTCTCCAAGTGTTCCTCGTTTCCCTCTTCTTTAGATCTATTGGACAAGGGAAGTGCTCGCTTCAGCAGCACATACGCTAAAATTGGATGGAGAAGGTGAGGAGCTGGGAACACTGGGGGTCCTGCTAGCATTGCTAACCCAGTGTCCTATCCCCTGCAGCGGATCTTTTCTGCTATTTCTGTTTCTGTTACAGGTCTAGGCCAGTAGTTCTCAACTGGGTGCAATTCTGCCTCTTCCATGCAGGAGACATCTGGCAGTGCCTGGAGATTGTGGGGTTGTCACAGCTGAGAAATGCAACTGGCGTCTAGTGGGTAGAGGCCAGGGATGTTGCTAACATCCCACAAAGCACAGGAGAGTCCTCCATAACAAAGCATGCTCTGGTCCCAAATGTCAGTAAAGCTGAAGTGGAGAAATCCTGCTCTGTAAGAGCCCTCTTGGTCTTCTTTCCATTTTCCTCATTACCAAAACAAGTTAGCCTTCTCCTTCCCACTACAAGGGGCACTCATTCACAGGGCCCCAGCTACAGCAAAAAGATCTACTAAATTAGCCCATCAGTTCAAGTGCCCCCAGCATCCAGGCAGCGATATAAATGAGTGAGGTGAGCCAGGAGTAAGATGAGAAGCCCTGGCCCCATGCTTCAGTGATAGGAACAACAGGGGATGGTTGGGGTTGAGGCAAACTGGAGGCTGCCCACCCTGTCTATAAAGGCAGCATTATGTTACTGCACGCAGGCTCCTGTGCTGCTCGATTTCTCATTCTTTGAGAGACTCAGTAGCTCATCTCCCTCACCTCCAGCAAGTCCTTTGTGCATCATCTATTTAATTTTTTGTTGTGCTGTGACATACATGCACCAGTCTTAGGTATTCAACCCAATGGATCATCAAACCAATGGTGAAGGATAAAACTGGAGGACTTACACTAGACTTCAAGGCTTATTATAAAGCTACAGTAATTAAAAGTGCAGTATATGTTGTTGCAAATGTTAGATTAATGATACGGAATGGAGAGCCCAGGGACATATATATATATATCCCCTTGATTTACAGTAAAAGAACCATCATAATTCAGTGGTAAAAATAGATGGACTTTTCAATAAATGGTGCTGGAGCAATTGGATATCCATATGGAAAAAAATGAACCTGGAATCCCTACCATGCACAAAAATTAATTCAATATGTATCATAGATCTGAATATGAAAGGTAAAACAATAAAGCTTCTAGAAAAAAGCATAGGATAATATCTCCATGAATTTCATAAAGTGTTTTTTAAAATGGCATACAAAGCTCTAAACATAAAGGGAAAGATTGATGAATTAGATTTCATTAAAGTTAAGAACCTTTGTTTATCAGAATTCATGACTAAGAATCTTGGCAAGCTGCAGAACAGTAGAACTTATTTGCAATACATCTGTCAAGGGATACTTGCGTGTTTTTTTCTATGTTGGCAACTCTTTCCAATGTAAAACACTGAGGGGAAAGAAACCACTGCGCAGGCTGACACTGTGCAGGCCAAACAAAACAGCTCTGCAGGCCAGCCCAGGCCTGTGCATTGCCAGTTTGCGAGTTCACCTTGAGCAGCGCGGAAGAAGTAAGGGCTTTACCATTGCTGTCTTTGCTTACTCTTTCCTTGACCAGCCTCTGGAAAGGGGAGCGCCATGGTAGAGATCTATTTTTCAATAATAAAAATTTTCCCTGGGTGGTAAAATGGCTGCTTATCGTGAGCTTGGGTTTTAAATAGCACTTTCTCCCCCGCTGATAGACACAATAATTAAAGAAAATATTTTAAACTATGATTCAATCAACTTTTTTGGATTGGCCCCCACTGTGTGGTCTGCCTGGCTTGACTCTGTGGAGCGCACAGTTGGTTCCTTTTTCACTTTACTCTCTGACTGTGGAGCTTCTCAGTATTTCTGGATGATAGAGACCTGGGAAGCCGACTTCAAGCTATAAGGAGACTGAGGACTTGCAGAAACAGACGAAGTTTAGACTTTTAGCACTTTGAGCTCGTAAATGCCCAACTTGTTTGCTTTCTGCCTCCTTCTCAAAGTTTGGTTCGGGTCTTCTC